TTTGGGTAATTGGGTGAGATAGGTGATGTGTTTGATAAAATAATGGATAAATAGGATTTTTTTTTTTTTTTTGTTTTGAGTTTGGTTGCACAATGGGAGGCAATCCTCTCTCATTCCTTATCCTACCCCACCCACATGCCATGTAACTCAAATTCAAGATCTCTTACTTTCAACAGAAAAAGATTATCACTGAGTTGTTTAGGTCGTTGGTGATAAATAAGAATCTTATTCAATTGTTCAATCAATCTCTTCATAACATTTAATTAAGACACATACCGTTTACATATATGTGGTGCAACATAAATACCAACCTAAAACTTAGTAAGAAAAACTTACAAAATTTTGATGAATAGATCACTTTAATAAAGGTAAAAAAAATTAAAATTTGTAAACCAAATTAATAAAAGTGAATAATTAATAGAACAAATATTGTTGGTTAACCTAAAAAGTTGTAATTTAATTGATAGAGAGATTTACTACTCATTTTATTGATCAAAACTCAATTTCTTGAAGAGGTCAATGAAAAGTAATTTCTCATAAATTTTTAATTTCAACATAAATAATATACTTTTAATCAAATAAAAATATTAATTTTGAAATGCATTACAAATTGTTATTAATTTCAAAGTGCGTTACAAATTATTTTGGAAACACCCTACTCACTTCAAAAGAAATATTAAATTTAAATTAGTGCATTTAAGAGATACTCTACTTAATTAATCCTTTCTATCATGGTGTGAGGAAGTTTTTGCCTCAAAATTTCAGGAGTTGGAAGAGCGTGATTTGAGGAACAAAATTCCTTAAATCTTCTTCTTCCTCACTACTAGAATTTCTCTATCAATGAAGGTAGTCACATTCAATGTCTGTGGGCTTGGTAATTGCATCAAGTGAAAAGAATTGAGAGGTACTGTTCTTAAAGAGCACATTAATTTCTTGATGACTCAAGAAACGAAAGTGAAATGCGCAGATGGGTGATTATGTAGATCAATTTGGGGGCATGGTGAGTTTGGTTGGTGTGCAAAAGGCTTTGTTGGCAGGGTTGGTGGTCTTATTTGCATTTGGGATTCTAATTTATTTGACAAACCAGATGTGTTTGAAGGCGATGACTTTTTGGGTGTTGAGGGTTTATGGGGTGACAAAAAATCAAGATACTACTTCATAAATGTTTATGGTCCTTGTAATGTAGCAGGTTGTGCAAAGCGTTGAAATGACATTACAATTCAAATTGAGGCTCGAAATTGTATTTTTTGCATTGGAGGTGATTTCAATTGTGTCCGTAATTTGCATGAAAGGCGAGGTAGAATGACTTCCTAACCAGGTTTTGGTGATTTTAACTTGTTCACTGAAGCAAACAACATGGTTGACTTACCCTTCTCAAATAAGAATTTCATCTGGTATAAGAGCGATGGTTTTGCCCATAGTAGACTAGACAGATTTCTTCTTTCATAAAATTACCAGAAGATATGGGGAAATTGTGTTCAACTGGCAATTAAAAGAAGCATTAATGATCATTGCCCTATCAATTTATGTTCTAACCACCAAGATTAGGGACCTAAATCCTTCAAGTCAATAAATAGTTGGACTTCTCACCTTTATTTTGGTCCTATGATTGAGAAGTTGTGGAGCTCTTTCAAGATTGATGGGTTTTGGGGATTCAAATGCAAAGAAAAGTTCAAACTTTTAAGGCAACACCTTAAGAAGTGGAATAGAGGTGTTTGGAAATATTGATAGTCAATTGGAGATGGCTTTAAGGAATATTGATCTTATTAACTTAAAGTGTGATGACCAAGACCTTTCAGAGGATGATTTGCCACAAAGGAAGGAAGGTTTTGCTGAACTTTGGAACTATCTTAGAAAGAAGGAAAGTTTATAAAGGCAAAAGTCTAGGGCTAGTTAGATTAAAGGAGATGCTAACATTGGGGTCTTTCATAGAATTATAAATGGGAGGAAAAAGAAGAACCTGATTTGTGGAGTTATCAACAAGGGCTCCTAGATTGATGATCTTTAGCACGTCAAGCAAATTACTTTGAACCACAACAAATGCCAATTTGCCTACCAACCCCAACCTCAGCTATCTATTGATTACTTGCACTTTAATAGATTATCTAAGGAAGATAGAAATTGAATGGAGGCAGAGTTTATTGATGAGGAGATCAGAGAGGCAGTTTCATCCTATGCTAGTGATAAAGCTTCCAGACATGATGGTTTCAACTTCCACTTTATCAAGTCCATCTAGAGCACTATTGAAGGGGATATTATTAACTTTGTTAAAGAATTTCACAAGAATGGGAAGCTTGTTTAGGGTTTGAATGCCTTCTGTAAAACCCTTATTCCCAAAACAAAAATCTAACATCTCTTAGAGAATTCAGGGCCAATCAGCTTGGTTGGGTGTCTTTATAAAATTCTTGCCAAAGTCCTAGCTAACGGACTAAGGAAAGTCATAAGCAAAGTGATAAGTACAACACAATCTGCTTTCATAGGGGGGAGACAACTTGTTCACAATGTTCTTGCCCTTAATGAAATTGTGCATGACATGAAGCTTAAGAAGACAAAGGGCATCATCTTTAAAGCTAATTTTGAAAAAGCTTTTAACTCAATTGATTGGAGCTATTTGGATGCAATGCACTCTTTGTTGGGTTTTGGACAAAAATGGCGCAACTGGATGAAGGAATGCTTAGCCTCTACTTCTATTTCAATTCTTGCAAATGGCTATCCAACTCAAGAATTCAGTATGCAAAGAGGGTTAAGGCAAGGCAACCCCCTATCACCTTACTTATTCTTAATTGCTACTAAAGGATTGCATGCTTTACTTGTTGAAGCGGAAAGGACTAACCTTCTGAAGGGAGTGATGGTTGATGAAAATACCTTAATTTCCCATCTCCAATTTGTTGATGATACCATTCTTCTAAATGAAGTCTTAGTAAACTCTATATGGTGTATCAAGTTTATTATGAGGTGGTTTGAGATTATGTCTGGATTAAGAATAAACTTCAGAAAAAGCATTATGTATGGGGTTAATGTAGATGAACGGTGGCTTAACATGGCAGCTTTAACCCTAAATTGCAAGCATGGGTCCTTACCCTTTACTTACCTTGGTCTTCCTATTGGTAGCAATCCACATCATAATATATTTTAGACACCTATGGTGGATAAGTTTCATTCAAAATTGGCATCCTGAAGGGCAAGCTCTTATCATTCATTTGGTGGTCATATCACACTTCTTACATCGATACTTTCTGCTCTCCCTCTCTTTTACTTCTCTCTTTTTAAAGTTCCTAAAGGCACACTGAATGAGCTTGTCAAAATTCAAAAAAATTTCTTATGGGGGGGTTTTGATGAGTGCAAAAAGATTGCTTGGGTAAATTAAGGAACAGTTTGTCTTGCAAAATCTAAAGGCGGTCTTGGTATTCCAAATTTAGCCACTAGAAATATTGCCCTTTTAGGTAAATGATGGAGCAAATTTTATGATGCTAAAGAAAATGAGAAATTATGGAAGAAAATTATTGTTTGCAAATATTATGAAGGGGTTCCCAATGAAATCATTACTAACACAGTCTCTTCAAGAATGTCTCTTTTTGGAGATATATTTTATCTATTGGTAGGGAAAATAAGAGAGCAACCATGCGTTTCACAAATGGATTTTTTAGAAAGCTTGGTGATGGCTCAAAAACTAGATTCGAGCAAGACATTTGGCTGGGCACCTCTTTTCTCAAGCTAGAATTTTCCCAATTGTTTAGCCTCACCCTCAACAAAGATGAATTAGTTGCTAATGTTAAACCAAAAAATGGCGAGGGATGGAACTTTCGTTGGCACAAACCACCTTTTGGAAGGGAACTTGATGAATTGGTGGTGCTAGATGGTATCCTTCAAATTGTTGAACTCTTTGAAGGCAAGATTGATAATTTCAAATGGTCCCTTTGTCCATTTGGACACTCTACCAAGTTGGCTTTCACTTAACAACTCCCCTCCTTGTATTGAAAAGGGCTATTGTGATTTAATTTGGAGTAGGTACGTGCCTTCCAAAATTAGTATTTTTGTTTGGCATCTTATCTTGGGTCGCCTTCCTACTAAGGACAATCTTCTCCTTTGAGGTGTAAGCTTAGCATCTAATACTACTTGTGTCCTTTGCAAAGTCCACTTGGAGAATGTCAATCATGTGTGTGCTAAGTGTTGGCGATCCCAAAACCTTTGGAGTAGAATCTGTTGCTAGTGGGGGCTCTCTTTTGCCCGTCCAAACAATGCATCAAACATATTACTTCAACTTACCTCCCTTCGTGTCCCCAAGAAAGAAAGAAACTGTTGGATTTTGATAATTTTAACAATAGCATGGTCCATTTGGCTCTTCAGGAATGGTGATATCTTTGATAAACTTTCTTGGGATGAAAATAATGCGATAGATTTAGTTTAATCAAAAACTTTTGGCTAGATTAAAGGGAATTCTTACTGTGTTATGTTTTGATTTGGTGACTGGTGTCAAGCTCTATGTAGAGGACTCTTAATTTCCATGCTTTCTCCTTTTTTTAGTATATGGGTGAGTACCCATTGTACTCTTTTTAATACAAATTTTTATTCATCAAAGAAAAAAAATCTTTTCTATCATGGCTAGACGACTGATAAAGTAAATGGTTGCATCTTGATCTCTCATCTCGTCTCATACCTCAATTGTCTTGAACAAGAAGATTAAGCAATCTCCACATGTTTCTCCTTACGCAAAACTCAAGGAAATTGAATCGGCTTTTAGGCCTAGTGGTTCACCCCCAAATCTTAAAGCGTTTGGGTTTGTTAGTTGGGGTTTCGACTTTCACCAATGCCTTAAAAGAATCCCTCCTCCCCAAATTGTAGACTATTTAAAAAAAAAAAAACTCAAGGAAATCGTTTTCACTATTTAAAACAACCAAAAAAATATACAAACACAATACCAATAAATTAAACTATAAAATGAAAAACACCAAGACAATTTTTAACCCAATAATTCATCCCTGCATAATGACAACATATATAATAGTATATATGTGTATTATATAGTATAATAATTATTATATTTTTTGGTTTAATATAGTTAACAACATATTTATTAAGAAATTATTATTTTTAAATTAAAATTAAAAATAAAAAAATAAACTCATAATGTAAGTCAATGACCTAAATAATTTAATAGTAATTTTTTTCATTGAAAATAAGATATTTTAAATTCGAATCAT